CTGCCGGAATGAGTGCCCCATCGCGTAATGTCGCCTTCACTGGTCGACGGTGAAGAGATGGTGAAGCAGCTCGCCATCATCGCATGGCGGCAATGGATTCCTCGGCCTTCGACGACGACGAGGCCGACGCCCCGGCGAGCGCGCCGATCCCGCGGCAGCGGCGCCTCGCGCGCGGCTTCGGCGAGGCGCTCGCCGCCTCCGTGGGCACGAAGTACGGCGGCGAGGCGGCCTGGGGCGGCGCCGGGGACCTCGGCGGCGAGCTCAAAATCTTGAGCGACTGGGTCGCGCCGCGGCGCCTCGAGGACGCGGCGGAGAGCGAGGTCGTGGCGTGCGTCGGCGAGGCCTGCGCCGCCGTCTTCGGGTGCGCCGTCGCGCGCGTCGGCCCGCCGACGCAGGTCCGGCTCGCGGGCGACGCCGCGTACGTCGCTTGTTTCCTGAAGGACGAGGTCGAACACCCGGAAGCGGCGCTCGGCGCCTGGCTCGAGGCCCAGCCCTGGGTCGTCGCCTACGACGCGCTCGCGTCCGCGGCCGCGCGCAACTACGCGCGGTGCTTGGTGCCGGACGACGCGGACGACCGCTTCGCCGAGTCGCGCGTCGCGGCCGTCGTCGTCGAGCACGCCAACGGCTGCCGCGCGGCCGTGGCGCTGTTGACAGACGCGCGAGTCGGGAACGCGCTCGAACGGCGCATCGCCGCCGCCGCGGAGGCCTTCGCGGCCGTCGCGCCGGGCGGGGCCGACGACGCGGCCTGTCCCCGCGTCGCGCTCCTGGCTTTGCGCTGCCGCAACCTCGAGACCTGCGTCGGCGGCGCGACCTGGGCCGTGCTCGCCGACTGCTTCGCGCGCCTGAGGGAGCTCCGGGCCGCGCCCGTGTCCGAGTCGCGGCTCCGGCGCGGCGACGAGGCGTCGCTCGAGTTGTGCGCGGACCCGTTGTACGTCAACGGCGCGGGCGCGCTCGCGCCCCGGCCCGGCGTCGCCCCGGCCGACGACCAGGAGCTCGTGGGCCTCGCCCACGCCGCGCGGCGGAGCGACGCGGCGACGATCTTCGAAACGCTGGGCGCGCGGGGCCGGGGCGCGGACGCGCTCGCGTGCTTGGCGACGCTCGGCGACAAGGTGCTCCGCGCGAAGCGCGGCGCGGCCATCACCTGCGAGGCGCTGCGCAAGGACGCGCGCCGGGGCACGTTCCGCACGGGGAGCTACATCACCGACGACGGCGACTTTGTGGAACTGGACAAGGACTTGGTCGCGTACGCGAAGCGGAAGCTCGAAGCCGGCGTCGAGATCACGGCCAAGGATCTCGAGGACGTGACCTTCGTCGCGCCGCCCGAGCCCGCGGCGGCCCCGGCCGCGGCGGCGCCGACGACCACGGAGACGGCGCTCGTCGCCGTGGAGAGGGAGGACGAGGAGAAGGCGTCGCGGAAGCGGAGCCGCGGCGGCGCGCTCCTGAAACTCGTCAAGGACGCGCGGCCGCCGCCGCCCCTCTTCGGCCCGCCGCCGCCGCGGCCCATGGATCTCCAGGCGCGCTGCGCCGCCATCGAGTGCGCGCGGCTCGAGCTCGACGGCGAGAGCGCCGAGGCGCCGCGGCGGTCCGTGCTGTCCGCCGGGTTCCCGGCCGCCGCGCTCCGGGACCTGCGCGCGCGCCAGCTGCTCGGGGCCGTGCTGCGGTCCGTCGCCGCGCGCGGCGGCCGCGCCGCGGACGCGGGGGGGTTGGTCGCTCGGGCCGACGCCTACGCGGGCTGCGAGCTGCGGCTCCTCGACGGAAGTTCGCCGTTCCCGTCGGCCTGGGCGCCCGCGGAGCCGCTGGGCCCGTCGGGCCGCGGCGCCATGGCCGCGGCGCGCTTCGACGAGCCGGACCCGGCGAAGCGCGCGGGCCTGCTGCGGCCGCCGGCGCTGGCCGGCGTCGCGCGGGACCGGAAGGGCGAGGGCGACGCGCGGCAGCGTTCGGGCGACGCCTGCGGCGCCGTCGGCGCCTACACGGCGGGCCTCGGCGCGCTGGGCCTCCTCGGCCCCGGCGCGGCGCCGCTCCTCGTCGACCGGTCGTCGGCCTATCTGGCCGCGGGGCTCTACGCGCACGCGCTCTCGGACGCGGCTTCGGCGCTGCGCGTCGCGCCCGCGTGGGGCCAGGCGCTGACCCGCTGCGCGGCGGCGCTCGGCGCCTTGGACCGCCACCTCGCCGTCGACGCCCTGGCGGAGTACGCGGCGCTCGTGGGCCTGAGCGACGACGTCGCGGCCGCGGCCGCGGCCGCGCGCGCGGACCGCGCGAACCGGCCGCGGCCGGCCGGCGACGTCGCGGCGCTCAAGGGCGCCGCGGACGCCTTCTTCAAGGCCAAGGACCACGCCAGGGCCGTCGAGGGCTACACGCGCGCCCTCGCGGCGGCGGCGGCGGGCGGCGCCGCCGACGCGAAGGCGAAGGCCGCGGTCCACTCGAACCGCGCGGCCGCGTGCGCCGCTCTGGGGTCGCACGGAGACGCGTTCCTCGACGGCGTCGCCGCGGCGGCGCTCAAGCCCGACTGGCCCAAGGGCCACGTGCGCGTCGCCGCGGCGCTGCGGGCGCTCAAGCGGCCCCGGGAGGCGCTCGCGGCCTACCACGCGGCGCTCCGCCTCCTGCCGGGCGACGGCGACCTCAACGTGGGCCTCTGCGACGCCGTCGCCGAGCACCACGCCCTCTGGAAGCAGGCGCATTAGGCGTAGGTGTACAGGTCGTTGCCGGGCCGCGTCGCGGCCATCAACGCGGCGATCGTGAGCGGCGCGTCGCTTTCGCCGCCGACGAGCCACGCGGGGAACGGGTACGTCGAGGAGATGACGTCGTGGAGGTTGTGGCCCGGGCAGAAGCCGGACGTCGGGAAGTCGTAGAAGGGCGGGTCCACACGCGCGGCCATCCACGCGCTCCACGCGCGGTCGATGTTCGGGTGGTGGAACCAGAAGATCCTGTGTGGAAATCAAATCTTCAACCCGACTTCAATGTGCGCGTAATCGAACAGTTTGGACCAGACTCTTTCGGTGTGCTTCGGGAACTCCACGAGAGCAATCGACTCGTCCAAAAATCAGCCGAATCGACTTCGATTTGACCGAGATAGAGAGCTGAAGTTTGGTGGGGGGGGCCCAAACCAGTGGTTGATTTCCACACAGAGAAGATCGGGTCGTTCGTGCTCGTGCTCCCGTCCCAGAAGTCGCCCGCGGCGCCGAACTGGCCGTCGGCGCACTCGGGGCAGGCCTTGCAGGCCGCGTCGGGCGCGTAGGCCGGCCGACTGCCGCCGCCGCCGTAGCGCTGGCACGTCGCGTTCGGCTCGAGCATGCGCGCGCACGCGGCGGCGTCGCGGACGAGGACGCAGTCCTCGAGCGCTTTTCCCGTGCAGTTCGGGACCACGAGGCACCCGGCGACGATCTCCGCCGTCGCCGTGTCCAGCTGCTTGGCCGCGCAGTTGCCGTCCTTCGCGCCCCACGCGCCCCCGAGCCAGATGTGGCCGAAGGGGTGCGGGCCGTCGACGCCCGCGTCGAAGCAGTCCCAGAACTCGAGGAACGTGGGCTTGGCGACGCAGCGTCCCAGGTCGAAACATTGACGCCGCCGCCGAACCAGGGCAGCGCCGCGCCGCAGATCGCGTGGCGCCGCGTGAGCCGAGGGGCCGGGTTTTGGTTCGTGAGGCCCCGGAGGTAGCCGTAGGCGTTGCCGCGCGCGCCGTTCACCCAGCGCTTTTCGGCGACGTCGTAGCGCGGCGGCCCGGCGAAGAGGTCCCCCCGGTCCACGGTCCAGTCCCTCCAGGGCCCCGTGCGGATCATGTACGCGTCGTCCGGGTCGCCCGCGGCCTCGCCGAAGAAGGCGTCGGACCAGATCTCGGACGCCGCGGGGTCGGGGAGCGCCAGGTCCACGTTGTAGTCCCAGTAGGGCAGCGCCTCGACGCCCGGGTCCACCGCGAGCACGGACGCCTCGACGGCGAGCACGAGCGCGCGGTGGTAGGGGAAGAAGCCCGCGGAGAGGTGGCCCTGGTCGCAGCGGGCGTCGATGGCCGCGTAGGTGTGCTGCACCGTGATGCTCTGGTACGTGCGGAACGCAATCGACGTGGAAGAAAGGGGGCTGTCGCAATGAGGAATGCTTTATGTCGATGACATATATCTGGGCTCCTTGATGTTGGCCTTGTCCGAAATGTGCGGTTCACCTCGCCGGGCGACGGCCTTAGTCGACTTTTGTAAGACTCGGAGCAGCCCCGCCTGCCGGGCCGCACCGTCACACGACCATGGGCGACGTTCATTCCGTGGTGACGGGCGACGTCGTGCTCGCGGCGCGCGAGCCGTCGGAGGAGCAGAAGCTGAGAGAGCGCGTCGCGCGCCTCGAGCGCCTCATCGTCGGCGGGCTCGAGGAGCTCGAGGAGATCGACAAGGACATGCAGGACGGCGCGGTGGCGACCGTCGAGGAGTCGGCCTTCGTGGACACCATGTTCGACGAGCTCGAGGACGAGATGAGCTCCTACACGACCGCCTGCGTCGCCTGCCTCTGCACGCCGGGCGAGCTCGGCTGGCGGACGTGGGTCACGCTGCTCGGGCGGACGCTCTGCGCGGTCATCCTGGTCATGACGCTGAACATGCTCTGCGCCGCCGTCCAGGACCAGAAGAACGTTTTGAGCGACTGGGAGGACGACATGGTCTTCGGCTGGGGCGCGACGTTCACGCGGCACACGACGTACTACGGCCACGTCTACGAGTACATGATCGGCGACATCCCCGTGCCCACCTTCATCACCATGCTCATGGGCTCCTTCGTCATCGCGCTCGACATGCGGGGCGGCTTCCGCGAGCAGCTGCTGAACCACCTGTCGCTCCACTACTCGCGGGAGCAGCTCCGGTGCTGCGCGCCGCGCGGCGGGGCTCTGGCCGCGGACGAGGCCGTGTCGTTTTATCGGTGGATGCTCGCCCAGGTGCTGGACAAATGCGTGCGCATCTTCAACATCTCCTACATCTCGGCGGCCATCTTCCTCGTGGGCACGTCCGACGGCACCGTCGACCTCATCCTCAACTGCACGGCGCTGAGCTTCATGCTCGGCGTCGACAACCTGATGAACGAGGGCTTCGCCATGTTCACGCCCAAGGGCTACGGCAAGAAGGAGGAGATCGTCTTCATCGAGCACATCGACGAGGAGACGCAGCTCAAGAAGATGCTCGCGCGCGTCCGCAAGGACGAGGACGGCCTCAAGCGCTTCGAGTTCGGCATCTGGATCAACTTCCTGGCGACGTGCCTGACCATCGTCGTCGGGGGCTGCCTCATGCAGAACTACACGGCCTACGGCGACACCTTCGAGTTCAACGAGTCCGGGCCCGGCGACGGCATCGGCATCGCCGCGGACGCGAACGTGCTCTCCAAGACCGTGCGCGGCTGCCTCATCGGCCTCATGGTCGTCTTCACCTTCACCGACAGCGTCCTCGTCGGCTCCGTGCTCACCTACGGCGAGCCCTTCTGGAGCCGCGTCAGGACCGCGCTCGTCACCTTCTCCTTCGAGTTCGTCATCTTCTACCTCCTCTACATCGTCCTCCACCACATCCTCATCCTCGAGACGATCATGGAGTGGAACAGCGACCGCGGCGAGCTCAAGGACTGCTACGACGAGCACGGCGACGACTGCAAGTTCCGCGCGCGCGGCTACAACGGCGAGGCGCCGAACTGAGCCCGCTGTTGTCTCCCCGCCCCCTCCGAGCTTCCTTCCTCGCGCCGCTTCGCCGGCCACGCTCGCCTGTCTAAGGAGCGTGCAAATTAGGATGTTAGCGGTCCGAGCCTAGACGAGGCGGTCGTTCATGTACTCGCGGAGGCTGTTGTTCTCGTCCTCGAGGACCTGGACGGCCTTCCGCAGGTCCGCGTTCGCGGCCTGCTCCGCGCGGAGCGCCGACGCGAGGTCCTCGTTCTGGAGGCGGAGGTACTCGAGCTCGAGCGCCGGGTCGTCGAACTGGCGGCCCTCGGCGCCGCGCGGCGGCGACTCCATGTTCGTCTTCGACCGCCGCCGCTCGCGGACGCCGCCGTCGATGGACGACGCCGACGCGCGCCGCGTGCCCGTCAGCGACGGCCGTCGCCGCTCGTCCGACGACCGGTCGCCGGCGGCCTTGGCCGGGCCGGCCGCGGCGCCGCCCGCCTTGAGGCGGTGCGCGGCGGCCGCCGCGGAGAGCGGGTCGACGTCGCCGCCCGACGGCGGCGTCGCGCCGGCGCCGGAGCCGAGCGCGCGGTCCATCGACGCGCGGCGCACGCGCTCGCCGAGCGAGGGCCGCCGCGGCCCGCCGGCGCGAAGCGGCGACGACTGGCCGCTGTCCGTCGGCGACATGTTGAGGCCGCCCGTGGAGCCCCGCCGGTCGATGACGATGGACATGGGCGCGCGGCGCGGCGCGACGGCGCCGCCGGACATGCGCCGCTCGCTCGTCGACCGCGCGAGCCGCGACTCGAGCTCCGCGTCCTGCTTGTTGAGCAGCTTCTCGAGCACGGACCTGCCGGGGGCGACGCATCGGTCGTCGTCGTTCTTTCGGTCCACATCTCTCGAAACGATCGTCACGGCCGTCGGACGCTGGGCGACGGACCCGCGGCGGCCGCCTTTTTGCATTGTGTCGAGCTGCTGCTTGAAGTTCTGCGAGCCGCGCACGCCCTTGGAGCTCCCGTCCTCCTCGAGCGACCCCGCAGACGAGCCCCGCCGGCCGCGCTCGCTCATGGCGTCCGGGCGTGGCGTGCGGGGGGCTGCCTCTGGGACGTCCGGTGCCGGGGCTGCCTTCGGGAGAGCGGCGTCGTAGACGGGCGGTAAAATCCATCATTGCCGGCCGGATACTTCCCTATAGTGATGTTTTCGTTGAACTGGCGGGGGCGGGCGCCGCCACTTGCGCCGCCTCACTTGCTCCAGGTCCGGCGCCCGGGCGCCGTCGCGTCCGGAAGGGAGAACAGCGGCGCGTTCTTACAGCATGACGCCCCCCTCGAGGAAGGTCACGGGGCCCTCGGTCGGCGGCGCGGCGTCGACGCGGCCGAGGGAGACGGCCGCGGCGATGGCGCCGACGACGTCCGCGTCGGCCTCGGCCTTGTGGTTGAAGTAGGTCTCCGTGGTGACGAAGCCGTCGGGCACGCCCGCCGCGGCGAGGCCCGCGACCCACTCGTTGACCATCGCGCCGTTCCCGATGAGGTGGAAGTGCGTCGTCGGTGTCGCGACGGCGCCGATGGCGTCGAGCTGCCGGGGCGCGGACACGCGGCCGTCCGTCGACGAGATGACGTAGGAGCACTCGAAGCGGTCCGGGTGGAGCACGCAGAGCCGCTGGACGGCGTCCTTGCAGCAGACGTCCGCCGCGTCGCGGTACGAGGCCAGCACCGTGAGCTTTTGCAGGTCCGTGGCCTCGAGCGCGGCCTCGCAGAAGCCCAGCACGGGCCCGACGCCCGTGCCCGTCGACAGGCACACGACGCGGTCCGCGCCCGGCGCCAGACCCTCGAGGATCGGCACGTGGAACTTGCCGCCGAAGCGCCAGCGCGAGCCCAGGGGCGCGGCGGCCATCGCCTCCGACTTGCCGCCGCAGACGCGGATCACGACGTCGAAGGCGTTTTCCGTCGCGCGCGTCACCGTGTACGGCCCGCGGAGCCACTCGCCGTCTTTCTCGACTTCCAGCGCGAGCACGTGGCCCGGCGCGTAGTCGAGCGGCTCGTCGCTCTCCAGGCGCAGGAGCCGCGACGCGCGCCCGACGTCGTCGTTCGCCACGAGCGTCGCGCCGATCTTGTCGTACTGCGGCGGCCCGCCGGACGCGGCCAGCGCCGTGCGCCGCGGCACCAGCGGCGCCACGCTCGGCCGCAGCGATGCCACCAGCGACGCGCCGAGCACGAGGTACGCCACGGTCATAGCGAAGCGATCTGCGGCGCTGGTGGCGCTGAGGCTCGTCGAGGAGGACTGCGAGCTCGCGATGACGCAGACGCGCAAGCACGAGAAGAGCTGCACTCCTCACTTTGGCGAGCGGCAATATGCAGCGCGTTGCACCGACGATGCCGTACGCGGGGCCTCAGGCCCGGCTATAGGGCGCAGATCGGCGCCGCCGCCGGTCGTATCGTCGAAGGTGACATTAAGCTTCTAGTGCAGGAGCGACGGGCCGCGCGAGACTACGGGGGGGGCGGGGGTCGGGGGTGCGGGTTGGTGGCGTAGCTTCGCCGGGGCGGGGCCGGAAATCGGGGCCCCGGCCGCGGCGGGACTTGGTGCTTCGGATTGGTGGTGCGGCGGACGACATGCGCCCTAGGACGCGACCTCGATGACGATGGAGCCCGAGTCCTTCTCCGCCTGGAAGGCCGCGTCGATCTGCGGCGTGAGGTCCTCCTCGCAGAGGCCGATCGCGCCGGGGATGTTCGCCGCGACCTTCTCGCGGCCCATGGTGACGCGCTGCGCGCACTCGACCTGCGTCGTGACGCACTGGCGCATGATGTCGACCTCCGCGAGCTGGTCCTTGAGGACGGCGTCGAGCTTGGCGATCTGCTCCTTGAACGTGTCGATCGTCTTCTGGAGCCTCACGGCCCGGAGCTTCGCGTCGAACTCCTTGGAGGCCTTGAAGTGGAACTCCCAGGCGATCCAGCCCTTGTTGAGGAAGGCGCGGCTCATGCGGTTGAGCATGCCGATCTGGAGGTGCTTGTAGCGGAGGTAGGACCGGTTCTTCTTCTGCCAGTGGATGAGCGCGATGCGCTGCATGTTGTTGAACATGTTCGTCATCGTGTGCTTGAGCTTGCCCTTCTGGGAGCCCGTGAGGCCGTCGAACATGGCGTCCATCTGCGCCTTGACGATGCGCTCGAGCGCCGCCTCGTGGATCTCCATCTCCTTGCGCGCCTTGTTGACCTCGAACGTGAGGTGCTTGATGACCGTCTCCGGCGGCAGGTTCGCCTCGTAGATGAGCTCCATCCACTTGCGCCAGGCCATGTAGACCTTCATGTTCGTGATCTTGGCGAAGAAGAGGCTCCAGGTCTTGAACATGGCCGACTCGGCCATGGCCGTCGTCTTCCAGTGGTAGAAGCCCGCGCGCTTCGCCTCGGGCCCGTTCTTGCCGAAGATGCCCATGAGGAAGGTGCGCTTCTTCATGTCCATGGACGACATGCGCGCCTCGACGTACATGCGCATCTTGTCCTCGAGGAACTCCGTCGCGACGCCGAGCTGGAGCTTCGCGGCCGCGACCTGCGGCTCGAGCTCGACGATCGTCTTCTCGGTGGCGAAGCCGTGCGCGTGGACGCAGTCGCCGCTCCAGGCGCGCCAGGCCCGCGCCATGAGGCCCTTGGCCCGCTGCATCAAGATCTTGATGATGATCTTCACGAGCGCCGAGTGCTCGACGAAGAAGATGATGTCGTCGAGCTCGTGCATCTCGTCGTGGATCTCCTCGAGCTTGTGCGTGATGCGGTTCACGTTGTCCTGGTTGATCTTCGCGCGCTGCTGCGCCGTCATGGCCAGCGACACGCGCCGGTTGCCCTTGGCGTCCTTGGCGACGACGGGCGCGGTCCGCGTCTTCTGCATGAACTCCTCGGCCTTGAACTGGACCTTCTTCCCGTCCGGGCCCCGGCCGTCGGGCGGGCCGCCCCCGCCGCCGCCGCCGCCGCCGTAGCCGCCGCCGCCGCCGCCCCCACCGTAGCCGCCGCCCCCGCCGCCGTAGCCGCCGGAGCTCCCGCCGCCGCCGCCGGAGTAGCCGCCGCCGCCGCCGCCGTAGCCGCCGCCGCCGCCGCCGTAGCCGCCGCCCCCGCCGCCGTAGCCGCCGCCGCCGCCGCCGCCGTAGCCCCCGCCGCCGCCGCCGCCGTAGCCGCCGGACTTGGAGCCGCCGCCGTAGCCGCCGGCCGTCGGCTCGTCGCCGTTCTCGCTCTGCGGCGGGCTGTAGTCGAGGGACGGCGCGGACTGGGACGACACCATGTCGTTGCCGTAGGAGATGTCGATCTCCTTGGACCCGGCGCCGTAGCCGCTGGGCGCGTAGGACGGGTAGCCCATGGTCGCGCCGGACGCGGAGCCGCCGTAGCCGCCGCCGCCGAACGACGACGACGCGTCGTCGCCGAAGGACTTGGCGAAGGGCCGCGTCTCCGCGCCCTTGATCGCCGGCAGCTGGCTCGACATGTCGTAGGACTGGCTGAACGTCGGGTTCTGGCCCGTGATCTGCACGTCGATCATCATGTTGCCGCCGAGCTTCGCCTCCGCCTTCGACAGCGTGATGCAGGTCTGCTCGAGCATGTACTTGACGGGCTGGAGCACGGCCCCGGCGGTCTGGCCGCCCGACGCCCCGAGGCTCCGCGACATGACCGCGCTCCCGCGGAACCACTCCTCCTCGCGCTGGAGGAGCTGGGCGCGCGTGACCTTGGGCAGCTGGAGCGTCATCGAAATCGCCACGTTTCTTCGACCACCGCGCCCGGCGCGTCGGCCTCCGCCTCGGGCGCCGAGCGGCTCTGCGGGAGGGCGCGGGAAAGCCGGCGCGGGGCGCCTGCGGACAGTGCGAGAGCAGCCGCCTCTCCCACTCCGCGTTGATGGAGAGAGGCCGATAGCAAGCGCGCTAGGGAGAGTTAGTTGGATATGGAAGTTCAATTCAGACTTAAAGATCTTCCGCCAGCGCTCTCCCGTCCCACGACCTCTCCCAGGTCGGGCTGCCCAGCCTGCGGGGCCGTCCATGTGAGCGCCCGGCGCGCACCCCTCGGGAGAGGCTTTTGCGCCGCGGCGGCGGCGGGAGACATGCCGGCGGCCCGGCTCGAGCGCTACGGGACGCGCAAGGCGCTGCCGCTCCACGAGGCCCTGCCCTACACGATGGCGCGGCCCGCCGGCGCCGTCTACGTCGAGGGCGGCGACGAGGGCAAGCAGGCCGAGGAGGAGCCCCCGTCCATCATGCCGCCGGCCTGGACGGAGCGGGCCCTCAACGAGCGGCAGCCGTCGCGCGGCCGCGCGAGCCGGATCTCGCCGGACAAGGCGGCCGCGCCGGCCGCGGCGTCGGCGTCGCGGCGGCGGAGCCGCCTCGAGCGGCGGTCCACGAGTTCGCGGCGGTCGATGATCGGGCGGCCGCGGCAGAAGACGATGATCCGCGTCGTGAAGCGCGACGAGGCCGGCGACGACGGCGAACAGCTGCTCAACAAGGTCCGGAACCGGGGCCGGAACCGGCACCGCGACTTCCCGCCGCACTCGACGATCGTGAACCCCAACGGCTTCCGCAAGTTCTGCTGGGACTGCGTCATCTGCGTCGTGCTCTTCTACGCGGGCATCATCACGCCCTTCATCATCGCCTTCGTGTCGACGTGCCGGCCGCGCGTGCGGTGCCCGACGTTCTGGATCGACTGCCTCTGCGACGGCCTCTTCGCCATCGACATCGGCATCAACCTGAACACGGCCTTCTTCGACGCGGCGACGCAGCGCTGGGTCCTGAGCCGGTGGCGCATCTCGCGGCGCTACGCGGGCCGCGGCGCGGGAACGGGGCGCCCGACTTCGAAGATCTCGGCCGCGTTCCGCTCGCGTCGGCTGATTCTTGGACGAGCGAGCATCCCTCGGAGCGCTCTCGACGCGTGGATGTCTTTTTTTGCGGAACGCGCGCGCGCGGCGCGCCCGCGTTCGAAGCGACGTCGAATCGCCCAGGTGGGCAGCGCGTGGTTCGTCATCGACGTCGTGTCCATCGTGCCCTTCGGGGAGATCCAGAAGGGGTCCGGGTCCGGCGACTCCGTGAAGCTCGTGCGCCTCATCAAGCTGCTGCGGCTGCTGAAGATGGCGCGCGTCATCAAGCTGAAGCGGTTCTTGGCCGCGTACTGGAGCCACTTCCACATCACGTACCAGAGCCAGGCCATCCTCAAGTTCATCATCTTCATCGTGTCCTGCGCCCACTGGACGGCCTGCCTGATTCGCATCCTGTCGGAGCGGCGGCGGGGCCGGGGGGACCACGACGACAAGATGGCGCCCGACACGTGGCTCGACAAGCACGGGCTCTACAACCAGGGCATGTGGGCCGAGTACCTGGCGGCCATGGTCTGGGCCATCCAGGCGCTCAACGGGTCGGCCTTCGTCTACACCGTCGAGGAGCACCTGGGCGCGCTCGTCGTGCTCTTCGTGGGCTGCGTCGTCATCGCGTTCATGATCGGCGAGATCGCGAACGTGCTCACGTCCATGGACCCGACGGGCAACCAGTACAAGATGACCATGGACCTGCTGGGCACCTACATGAACGAGCGCCAGTTCGGCAAGGACCTGAAGCGCAAGCTCCGCGAGTACTTCGCGCAGTGCGAGCAGCTCTTCCGCGAGAAGTACTACCAGGACATGCTCTCGTCGCTCACGCCCCAGTTCCGCGAGGTCGTCGCCGTGGAGAACATCGGCCGCTGGGTCAAGCGGCTCCGCGTCGTCCAGAACTCGGTGCTCCGGGCGTCGGGCCTCGAGGCGGGCATGCTCGTCGCGGTGTACCCGGCGGACGAGGACGGCGACCGCGCGAACCAGAGCAACGGGCCGCCCGACGGCGCCGCGGCCGACGAGCCCCAGCCGCTGCGCGGGGGCTGGGTCGTGCGCATCAACAAGGTCGAGGGCACGGTGGACGTGGCCTACACCGAGGAGGCGCCGCTCCCGGGCGAGACGTTCAGTCGGAACGCGCTCGAGGCGCACATCGACGCGGAGCGCGTGACGATGCCGCGGTTCACGGCCAAGGGCCAGCTCTGGCACCGGACCATGGCCGCGCACCGGGGCCTCATCGCCCAGCTGTCGCTGATTCTGGAGCCGACGGTCTACATGGCCGACGAGCCCATCGCCGCGGAGGGCTCCGAGGCGGACACGATGTGCCTCGTCATCTCCGGCGCGGTCATCAAGCAGGGCGCCGTGCGGCCCATGCAGTGGCCGAAGACGCACCTCATCAGCGACGACCACTTTGGGTGCGTCGGCGAGGACATGATGCACGCGCTCGTGACGGCGTCGAAGCTCACGCGCCACTACTCGGTCCGCGCGGCGTCCAAGTGCAACATGTACACCATGGTCGCGGACAAGTTCCTGCGGAAGGTCGAGATGGTCCAGTTCAAGGACCTGCGGCACCACATGCGCCAGCACGTCGCCTGGAGCCTCCTCCGCGACACGGTCTGCCACCGGAACGACGTGGTCCGCGCGTGGGTCGACCAGTCGCAGACCGCGGGCGACCACGGCGCGGCCGCGGCCCTGGCGTCGAGCCTCGAGAAGGCCGTCGCCGACGCGCGCGAGGGGCTCCGCAGGGGCGTCGACGCGGGCGGCAAGCGGAAGCTCCGGCGGGCGCTCTGGACCGCCGCGGAGCTCCTCCGCGACCTCGACACGGCGCCGGACCGGGGCGACGAGTCGTCGCGCGACGCCGGGCTCCTGCCGCCGCCGCGCGCCTCCCTCATCCGCGACATCATGAAGGCCAACGCGCTCAAACGGTCGTCGTCCCTCTACGCGAGGGCGCGCGGCGCGCCCGCGGCGCCGCCGGACGCCGCTGTGGCGGGCGTCGAGCCCCCGCCGGACCGGCCCGCGCCGCCGTCCCCGTCGGGAGACAAGAGGACGCTGGGCGCGGGGTAAGACGTGCCGCTTAGAGAGGTAGGGTGGTGGGCAAGTGTGGGTTGGTGGGCGCGTCGAAAGCCTGTCGAACGCGTACGGACGCGTCCACGGGTTCGCCCAGGGGTTCGCCGTTCCCCGCGGATCGTTCAGCCGAGCCGTTCCAGCTTGGCCATCACGGCGTCGAGCACGGCGGCGTCGCACAGCTTGTGCGCAATGGAGGACTTCGACGACGCGGCGCTGCTCGCGCTGGCGCGAAGCAATGACTGGGGCGCGAGCCAGAACGCAAGCCAGAAGAGCCAGAAGCGCAGCGCGGCGTCGGACTCGGACTCCTCCGACGACGACCCCATCGCGTGGTCCGTGCGCAAGAAGGTCGCGAGCGGCGCGAGCGCGGTCGGGCGCAGCGCGTCCACGAGCAGCGCCTGCTTCGCGAGCAGCGCGTCCACGAGCAGCACCGTCGGGCGGAGCTCGTCCGCGAGCACCTTCGCCGCGCGGAGCTCGTCGTCGACGCCGCCGGAGACGGAGGACGACGACCGCATCGGCGAGATCGTCGAGGGCCTCAACCCGGAGCAGCGCACGGCGGCGACGGCGCCGTCCGGCGCGCCGCTGCTCATCCTCGCGGGCGCCGGCTCGGGCAAGACGCTCACGCTCGTGCGGCGCGTCGTGTGCCTCGTGCTCCGCGAGCGGCGGCGCGCGGCGGCCGCGCGCGAGTCCTACCGCACGGTGCTCGCGCTCACGTTCTCGCGGGCCGCCGCGCGCGAGATGAAGGAGCGGCTGACGCAGGCGCTCGGCTACGGGCCCCAGGGCTACCGCGTCGCGACGTTCCACGCGTTCGCGCTGCGGCTCGCGCGGGAGTTCGCCGAGGAGGTCCTCGGCCGGCGCCACGACTTCACGCTCGCGTCGCGCAAGGAGTCCGCGGAGCGCCTCGCGGCGCACGTGATGACGGAGGCGGCCTTCTGGGGCGGAGGCGAGGCGCCGACGCACGAGAAGGCGCTCAAGATCGCCGGCGGGCTTTTATCGGCCATCGCGAAGCTGAAGACGACGGGCGCGTCCGCCGAGAACGCGTCGCCCGCCGTCCGCGACGCCTTCGCCCACCACGAGCGCGAGAACGAGCGGCTCAACACGGCGGACATGTCGGACCTCGTGCGCTGGGCCAACGAGGTCGCGGCGGCCGCGGGCCCGGAGCTCCGGTCGCGCCACGCGCACGTGCTGGTCGACGAGTTCCAGGACACGTCGGCGCTCCAGCTGTCGCTCGCGACGGCCGTCGCGCCCGACGGCTGCGTCACCGTCGTCGGCGACGACGACCAGTCCATCTACGGCTTCCAGGGCGCCGAGGTGCGCAACTTCCAGCGCTTCGCTCGCGGCGACGCGGCGCTCGCGGCCGTCGCCGGCGGCGCGAAGCGCGGCGCGCGCGTCGTGCGCCTCCAGCGCAACTACCGGTCGTCGTCGATGATCGTCGAGGCGTCCTGCGCCGTCGTCCGCGCCAACAAGCTCCGCCTGAAGAAGGAGGTGTTTACCACTCGGGACGCGGGCGCGAAGGTCCGCGTCGTCTCCTGCCGCACGACGGACGTCGAGCTCGACGTCGTCTGCGCGGAGCTGCGGCGGGCCCTCGCGGCCTACGGCGCCGCGGGCGGCCGCGGCGGCGCGCTCGACGGCCCGCGCGTCGCCGTGCTGTACCGCACGCACAACGTCGGCAAGACCGTCCGCGCGGCGCTCAAGAAGGCGAAGATCCCCGCGTACGTCTGCGGCCTGCGCCAGCGCCAGGCGGTGGTGCTCGAGGTCTGCGGCCTGCTCCGCTGCGTCGCCAACGGCAGGGACGACGCGGCCGTCGAGCGCTGCGTCCGCGCGCTCAAGGTCCACGGCGACGA